TAAAGTTAGCATGATTGATTATTGATTATTGATTATTGATTAGTTGGTACCCGAGCTTTGATTCTTTGCCTGAATGCAGCAGCTCCTGTCAGGTCCAATCAGGACAGCGGCTGTGTTGTTGCTAATCACAGATTCTTTATGTCAGCGTTGGACGTTCACTGAAGAATCTTTTAATCTGCCAAACTTCCTGTTTCCTGTCCAGCAGTCGGCTCCACACTGAAGTACCGAACTCACGACTGTCACATCGGAGGTATTCTGGGTAATGAAGTCTTTCAGAGTTCTTGTAAGATGCTCCAGTGTAGTTCTCTAATGTACAGGGGGTCAGAATAATGGAACCGATACCTGTTCCTTTATATGTTTGTGCTTTCTGTCTTCATAAGGACGTGAAACTATTCTTTAAATTGAATTCAGAATCATCTTAAAGCGTCTTTTACCTGAAACCTGCAGAATCAGTCTGCCAATGGTTAAACTTTTAATGTTTCCAGCTTCTCCAGTGAGATATAAACCTAAAGGCTTGTGTCCGGATTGAGGAGCGGTCTGAGGGTGTTACACTTTAGGCTTTTTAAAAAAAGAGAGGCCTAAATGCAATTTTCTTTTTTTTTTTATTTTTTTTTTTTTTAATTTATAAATGTCTCATATAACCTGGACTGTATTTAAAAAGTGAGACAATCGGGACTAAATGAAAACAGTGATTGAACCTGTGGAGGTCCAGCTGTCTCTCAGCCAACAGATGGTCTCTCAGAGGTTACAGTTTTCCACCGGCTGCCTCGCAGACCTGACCGCCGCACTGTAAACCTGAACGCTCTGAGCCACGGCGAGGTGTTACACTCTGAGCCGACACTTTGTTTAAAAGATAAAAACTTCACCAGAAACAAGACGAGAGCAAAATGTTTTGAAAATACGAGTCGGCTCCACTCGAGGCTAAAAACGCCAAATATTTGAATGAAGTTCTGCCTGTACGGTTTCTGCTCCTCGTTCTGACCTTCAGTGTTTGCAGTTAAACAGTCTGAGGCTCCGTTCACACTGAACATAAAAGGTTTAACACACTACTTACTTAACACTTACTTAAAAAAACTCCATCAAGTGAGGAAACAGGAAGTTTAAAGTTTAAATTAGGAGGAACTAAAAATGACAAAACGGCAGTTGTGAGTTTGCAACATGTTAAAAAGCTTTTTTGGGATTTCTAAGTTAAGAAACAGAATAAATTCTAAAGCAGCAACAGGCAACTACTTTAATCACAATTCAATTTCTAGTTGATGACTAAAAACCATAAATCGATTAATAAAACGTACAGAAGTTGTTTAATAAACAGTTAATTACGACAGTTTCCAAGACTGTTGACTCGACTGCACTCAGATTGTGTTGTGTTATGCTAATAGCAGCTGATGTAGCAATCTAAAGCCTGCAGAGGTCAGATCTTTCTAACTCGTAGTCTTCAACCAATGCTGACTCGAGTGACATCACTTGAGGACATTAATCTTCTCACAGCGCCGTCTACAGACACTGGACACTTTATATATTTATATATTTATATATTAATACAACCTGTGCAGTATTGTGTTAAACCAGGTCAAAGGTTATCAATATATTGATAAGTTATCAGAGGTCTGGAGACTGTAGAGGAGGTTGGATCTGGTCTCTTGGTCTGACGGTGACATCATGACTTTTATATTTTGGGGTAAAGTTCAACAGCTAATCAATAAAGTTCAATTCAACAGACGAACGCAGTTTAAAGATGTTTGTGGACTCTGTAAGGTTGGCTCCATAGCGCCCCCTACAGGATGTGTATTTGTGCTTCCTGTTCCGCGTCCAGACGTTAAAAAGAAAGTCCCAGACCCAGCAGGAAGTCGGCCATTTTGAGTTAACTGTTAAATATTTGTGCTTTTTTCTTTACTGTTTATAGACAGAAACTTAATATCCTTATTATTTCACAACAAAGCAGAGAAAAGTGTAGAAATATATAAAATACAGTATAATAAATAATAGTATAATAATATAATAAATAATAATATAATAATAATAATAGTATAATATAGTAAATAATAATATAATAAATAATAATATAATAGTATAATAATATAATAAATAATAATATAATAATATAATAATAATATAATAATATAATAATATAATAAATAATATAATAAATAATAGTATAATAATATAATAATATAATAAATAATAGTATAATAATATAATATAATGATAATAATATAATAAATAATAGTATAATAATATTATAATATAATAAATAATAGTATAAAAATATAATAAATCATACTAATATAATAATAAAAACAGTACTTGTGATACTTTAAATTCATTCTGCTGTACTCAGGTTTCTGTGTCCTCCAGCTGCGTCTCTGATTGACGTCACAAAGGACGATTCAGGGCGACAGTGGGATGTTTTCTGGTTGTCGTGGTAACGCAGATACACGCTGAATATAAAAGCAAAAATAAAAGAAGTCACATGAAGGACTCGAGCCTCAGGATCAGATCA